TCTCCTCTTAGTGCAGATACCTTAAACTGGGTACCAAGGTCCACAGGGCTTCATGGCTCGGTGGGTAGCACTACTGCCTCACAATGCTAGGGACCTGGGTTCGATTCCACCCAAGTTTGCAGATCCCTTCCATGTCTGCATGGGTTTGCTCCTGTTTCCTCCCACACTTCAAAGATGTGCAGGTTAGGTGGTCTGGCCATACTAAATTGCCCATAGTATCCTGGGATGCGTAGGTTAGGTGGATTAGCCACGGGGAATGCTGAGCTACAGGGATAGGGTAGGGGATTGGGCTTGGGTGGGATGCTTTTCAGAGGGTTGATGAGGATTTGATGGCCTGTTTCCATACCTGTAGGGATTCTATTTGATGAATGTTTTTCTCTCTTTCTGCACTGTCCCCTGTACCTGGATATTGTAGTACGCTGCAAAAACAGAAATTATTGGAGAAACTCAGCAGGTCTGGCAACATCCGAGGAGATAAAGTGCAGTTAATGTTGAGTCCAGTGACGATGCTTCAGAACTGATTCCCAGCACCTGCAGTTCCTTTGGTTTGTTGGTTACCCTGATATGCTGTCTAGAACAGTGTGGAAAACTCCATTAGTGCCTTTAGAGATTTATTATTGCCCCCTTGTGATTTATGATTTAATCCTCTGGTTGTACAGCCAGGGATCCAGTTTGCTTTACTTCCAGTTGGTTTTAGTCTGCTCCCCAATGATAGCCAATAAGAACTGAAAGAAATGCGGATGCTGTAAATCAGGAACAAAACCAGAAATAGCTGGAAAAGCTCAGCAGGTCTGGCAGCATCTGTGAAGAAAAATCAGAGTTAACATTTCGGGTCCTCAGAACTGGGGGAGGGTCACCGGACCCGAAACATTAACTGATTTTGCTTCACAGATGCTGCCAGACCTGCTGAGCTTTTCCAGCAATTTCTGGTTTTGTTCCCCATTGATAGCCGTTCAAATCCATGAACCAGAACCTGAACGTGGTTCAGCCTATCCTTGCTGCTCTATCAATGATTCAAGAGGAAATGCTGAACTGGTGAATAAACAAATCTATAGACTGATTAGGCATTGAGCCATTAATCAATTTCTCCTTGAGACACAACCTGCAGCACTATTTCCAGTACACTGCAGACCCGATCCAGCTAGCTCTGAGAGCTGGAAAGGGAAGAGTGCAGAAGTCACTTTGTTAGTTGAGATCAGTTAGGTTTTACAAAGAGGGGACTGCCTGAAAGTTTGACTGCACTCCTAACCAGAGATCCCAAATCATGAGAAACCAGTTTGAACTCACGGATGTACACCATGAAAGATAAAAGCTTCTTCTGATGTTCAGCAAGACAGATTTTGGGTTTGTCGCTCAATGAAATGGGAGCTTTTGATTGACACCAAGCCCTGTATCTCCCTTCTGTATTTTGACTCGTCGTTGTTAAATATCCGTCTCACTACGGTGGTGTCGTCAGTGAACTTGTACATGGCGTTTGTTCAGAATTTGGCAACACGGTCGTAGGTGAAAAGGGGGTACAGTAGGGGGCTGAGGATGCGCCCTCAGGGAGGCTGCAGTGTTGAGAATTATTATGGAGGAGGTGCATTTACCTATCTTCACTGATTGCGGTCTGTGGGTCAGAAAGCTGACCAGTTGCAGAGGGCGGAGCTGAAACCTAGGTCTAGGAGTTTTGAGATCAGTCTGGAGGGGATAGTGGTGTTGAAGGCAGAGCTGTAGTCAATGAGCAGGAGTCTGACATAGGTATCTTTGTTGTCCAGCTGTTCCAGGGATGAGTGCAGGGCTAGGGAAATGGCATCTGCTGTGGACCTGTTATGTTGGTACGCAAATTGTAAGGGATCGAGGCAGGCTGGGAGATTGGAACAAAAACAAAGTTGCTGGAAAAGCTCAGCAGGTCTGGCAGCGTCTGTGAAGGAGAAAAAAAAAGTTAACATTTCGGGTCCAGTGACCCTTCCTCAGTCACCTCAGTTCTGAGGAAGGGTCACCGGACCTGAAACGTTAACTCTTTTTTCTCCTTCACAGACGCTGCCAGACCTGATGAGCTTTTCCAGCAACTTTGTTTTTGCTCCTGATTTACAGCATCCGCAGTGCTTTTGGTTTTTATTGGGAAATTGGAGTTGCCTTGTGCAAACTCCTGACAGCTAATCGGGATGCTAAATAATTAGGGCATAGATAATGAGTGTTCCTTAGAATAACACAAGTTTCTACATCTCCTCTGTTTTATTTAATGGTTCCGACTGAGACATTCAGCTGAGGTTTCACATCAATGTTTCCCATAAAATATCTGTGTATTACCTTATAGCATAGAGGCGTTGTTGCTCCATTGAGGTTTTGGATCAAGTCACACTACTAATTAGAAGTCAAAGGTGGATCTATAATGCAGAAGGTGTTAAAAGTTTTAAAAACTAATGTCACCCCTGGTCTGGGGCAAAGGAAGCTAAACTGAGCTGACGATTTTTGTTTCTTGGTGAGACATTAAACTTTCTACCGTCTGTTGGACTTTCCTGGTTCACAGAGTAAAGTCAGTGCCGCTTGAGCTGGGATTTGATCCCTGCGCTGCCTCAAGTTAGCTGATCTCAGCCAAGGTGACTGATCGATGATGGCATGCCTAGGCTAGGAAGGAGCAAAATATCAGTCAGAGTCCTTTTGCGTTTCTTTCTAAGAGATGCTTCCACCATAGCCCTTTGCGCCCACTCCCTCAACTTTCTCCCACAGGTTAGTGTGGGTTGTATTGGGTAGCGTGTGATGCATTCCTGGCCGAATAGCTGCCAACGCTGTCAAGGGATGGATAGTCTCTTGAGTGCAGTTATAATAGGCTGACAGCCCCTCTGATTCTCTATCCCAGCAAAGTCATCACCTTAAGGGCAGGCGAGGAGGTGATGAGGGAGGAGGTGGCTGGGAAATGATTGACTAGCCTGCACCTAAAGCGTGTTGCAGACTTTGTGACGGACAGTGAGTGTGTCTGCAATGCAGCACAGATTTGATGGGTGCTTTAGCGGGTGGAGAATAAGACTTATTCTCAAATCATTCTGAGAACCAGGGAAAATACAACTTACCTGGATTCATCCAGGCCACATGGAGAAAAGACCTGAAATCCAGAGGCATTGAGACAGTAACCACCTGAACATCAAGACAACATTCAACTAGAGAAGCACTAAGGAGGCCAGGCTAACATCATAGTGTGGGATTCTGCAGCGATTCACAGGGAGGCTATGGCCTACTGGTATTATCACTGTGCGGTTAAACCAGAGACTTGGGTCATGTTCCAGACACCTGGGTTTGAATTCTACGGATGGTGGAATTTGAATTCAATTTAAAAACAGAGTTTGGCATTAAGATTCTAATGATGACCATGAGTCATGATTGTCGGGAAAAACCCATCTGGTTACTAATGTCCTTTAGGGACTACGTGTGACTCCAGACCCACAGCAATGAGGTTGGCTCTTAACTGCACTTTGGGGTGAGCAATAAATGCTGGTCTAGCCAGCGATGCCCTCATTCCCGTGAATGTATTAAAAAAAGGGAAGGCTCAGTACTACCTCTCCTTGGAAAGAGAAACTTGGGATGGGCAATAAATATCGACATTGGCAACTCACACAAGAAAAATAATTCCTTGATTTCTAGACAGTGGGTTAAATGCATTTACGATTGTATTAAAACATTACACGCAATAATTTTCTCTAATTCTGTCAAACCCTGTGCTAAAATGAGATTATTAACCCCATGGATTTTCTACCCCCAGTTAAGTGTTGTCATCACTGTTGCATTTCTTTGGCCCACATTTCTCTGCTGTATAATACACTGCCCAGGGACTCTTGTACAGGAAGAATATGAATATAAAGTGTAGGAGCTCCATGTGGAAATAATCGCAGATGCATGAGCCTGTTAACCTGAGGTAACCCGAGCTGGATAGTGTGAAAACAGTCGTCGTTTCTTTCGCTCCCATTATGGTTCGTAGCTTAGGTTAGCCGAGAGGTAATGCCTTAACATTTAAGGAAACTGTAGAATCGTAGAACTCGACAACAGCGAAGGTGGCCATTTGACCCATCCTGTCTGTGCCAGCTCTTCAGGGGAGCTGTCCCATTCATCCCTATTTGCTGCTATTTCCTATGAAATTGGCCAATCATTCTTATCCAAGTATGTGTCCAATTCCTTTCTGAAGCTTAACACTGAGTCTGCTTTCGCCACCCATTTCATGCAGTCAGGTTTCGAACATCATAACACACTGTGGAAAGAATTTCTCCTCATCCTTTCCTGCTACCAACCCCCACAGTAGCCAAATCGTATTTATTTGGCACCATTAACACAATGGAACATCCCAAAAGCATTTCACAGGAACATTTTAAAACAAAGTCACTGTGACATTGGGTTGGGTAAGGAAATGTTGGGTCAGATGACCAACAGCTTGGTCAAAGTGCTAGGTTTTAGGCAGTGTCTCAAAGGGGGCAATGAGGTAGAGAGGAGCGAGGTATATTGGGAGAAAGTCCAGAGCTTGGGGCATAAGGAATGAATGGTGTGCACTAATGATGAGGTAACGGTAATCAGGAATGTGCACAAACCAGAACTCGAGGAAATAAAAGCCAAAAGAACTGCGGATGCTGTAAATCAGGAACAAAAACCGAAATTGCCGGAAAAGCTCAGCAGTGCTCTGAGGAAGGGTCACTGGACCCGAAACGTTAACTCTGATTTTTTTTTTCTCAACGGATGCTGCCAGACCTGCTGAGCTTTTCCAGCAACTTCTGTTTTTTGTTCCAGAACTCGAGGAGTCCAGATATTGTTGGGATTTTGTGAGTTTGGAAGGATTTGAAAGCAAAAATACGGATTTTGAAACCAAGACATTACTTGACCAATGCCAATGTAGGCCAGCAAGCAGAGGGCGAGAGGGTTGCAAAACCCAAAAAAAAAACCCTTTAAGTATTTATCCAATTCAGGCTTGATTGGTTTGGTTTGTTTTTGTGAAGATACTCAAAATATTCTGTCTTTTTGTCTTCCTCTTCATCAAGAAAAGTGTCACACTCCCTTAATTGAGGATCAGATTATGCAGATGACACCTGAAGAACACTACAGGCGAATGATGTCTGCGTTGAATGAGCATGGGACATACGAAGAGCAACAGCAACGCTTGTATCAACTCGCCAACAGTATGGGAGTCCCAGCTCATGGAGGTAAGGGGAACTGCACTGCCCACCCCAGTTCACATTTCTGCACAGTAGCAAACTGCTCACCGTGTTTTAATATCTGACTTCAACTCTGTCACTCCACTGATTGGGACTCACCTAAAACAAGTGCCATGCACTGTTCTGGTTTCCAGTCAGAGGAAGGAATTTGGGGGTATCTGAGAGTGCATGAAAGGGGTTTACAAGAATGACACTGGTATTCAGAGCTCCTAATTCTCAAGAAAGATGAGCAGGTTGGAGGTTGAATTTTTCTGAGGAAGGGTCCAGACCCGAAACGTCGGCTTTCCTGCTCCTCTGGTGCTGCCTGTGTTCCTCCAGCTCCACGCCTTATTATCGCAGACTCCAGCATCGGCAGTTCCTCCTATCTCCGGTTGGAAGCTTGCTTTTACTTCCTATAGGAGACCAGGCAAAGGGGTGACCGTTAAAATCAGAAGTCACACGACACCAGGTTACAACCCAACAGGTTTATTTGAAATCACAAGCTTTCAGAGTGTCACTCCTTTGTCACGAAGGAGTTGCGCTTTGAAGGCTTGTGATTTAAAATAAATCTGTTCAACTATAACCTGGTGTCGTGTGAGTTCTGACTTTGTCCACCCCAGTCCGACACCGGCACCTCCACGTCATTAAAATTACGAAGGAGTCTGGCTGGATTGATGGAGAAAATGTTTCCATTTGCTGGGGAAATCCGAACCGGGGCCAACAACATAAAATAGCTATGAATAAGGAGAAATATCTTTACCCAGAGACTGGTTAGGATATTGAACTTGTTGCCACATGGAAGAATTGAGGTGAATAATGTAGATATATTTAAGGGAGTTAGACAGGAGGGAGAATGGAACAGTCCATTGTGCTAATAAACTTAGATGAGGAGATGTGATAGGAGTGTCAAGTAGGACATAAACTCCACGGACTAGTTGGGCCAAATGTCCTTTTGCTGCTCTAAAAATTCAATGCTCTAGCACTGCTTCCTATTAATGTGCATGAATAAACCAGTCAGATTTCCTAGCATGATTGTATCATCATTAAAAGAATGACAACCATAATTAGATAGGAGGATTAAACTGAACAATCCAAGGTAGGTACAGTTGAACACAACCTGGGTAATGAGGCCTCTATGCTTTGTGCACTTTGAACGGCTTGACTGCATCTTGCCTGAATATATGATTTGTTTTTGTTAAAGACGGCTGATGCAGCTCAGTTAGGCTATTGGTACAGCCCCTGGGAAAGTTTTGCAATGACTTATGAATTTGCAACATGTCATTAGCTTAGACAAAAAGGAGATTATTAATTCTTTCTAAGGGTGTTTGTGTCTCAATATATAACAGACACATAATGCATACATTTTTCATATTCCTAATTTTACGTAACATAGTATAAACTTGGTACAGCTTTCTTTTTGATCTCGTGATTATCAGTACAATTTATTTGTTCAACAGTGATATTTATTTCTTAGATGTTTAGAGTTCAATCTGCAGGATTTTGACTTTAGCAGGGATTTGAAGCAATGTAAGAATTGTGTGGAACCTTTTCCGATTTCCATTTTCTTGTTCAGTGAGTCTGAATGAAGGCTATTTTTTTGTGTTGTTTTGGCAGAGCCTGTTTTTTACCCCTGTTTCCCCTTTTGAAGACTGAAACAGTGTAACATAATTCATCTTAGTATCAGTTAAATGGGACATCATTTGTCAGTGCTACTGCCAGAGCTGAAAATTAATAAAATCCTATCTGAGACAGCGGCAGTATCTTAAAGGCACATTTCTGTTTTCTGGGGAATTTCTTTCTGAAGTATGCAGAAATAAAAGCTACGCTGGTCAGCAAAATGAGACTACGAGGTGAAGCTGGTTATTAGGTGAGACCTGTGATCTGATTTCTGGGCTCCTTTTTTAAAAGTTGTCTTCTTGTATGGGGTCGATTGTTCATTGAGCTCTACCTCTTGTTGCGTAACCCAATAGAGCAGAGGCAAGTGAAGCTATTCAGATTCTCACACTCACTCTCTCCAAATTGAGGAATATTTATCTCCGGGATTATTAAGCCCTTTTATCAAAGGTCACCAATAGACTTGAGGAGGAAAGCCCTCCTCCTTACTCTGACATCCTACTCCTGTATTTAGTTGGGAAGGTTCTGGGTTCTGTTGCTGGTCCAGCCTGAACTCGTATCCATCGCTAGGCAGTCTCCTACTGGGGGAATAGTGCATTGTGGGTGAGGACAATGAGATTGTCCTGTTTGTGTTTCATCCTTTCATGGGATGTGGAACTTGCTGGATAAGCCTAAGTGCCCTTAAGAAGGCAGTGCCTTCTTGAACTGTTGCAGACCATGTGGTGTAGACACACACACACACTATACTGGTAGCGAGGGAGTTCCAGGATTTTGACCCAGCAACTCTGAAGGAACAACGATACATTTACCAGGCAGGATGGTGAGAGGAACCTGCAGGCACTGGTGTTCTCATGCATCTGCTGCCCTTGTCCTTCGAGGTGGAAGAGCTGCTTGAGTGTTGTTGAGATGCATTCATCCATCCCTCCCTGAGTGAATGGCTGACATCTATTCCGTCTACACAACAATATGTGAAGAATTGAGCACCTGGGCAGTACCTGTAAGAGTCAGTGTCACCTTGTGATCAGAGGGCAGAACAGCTGAAAGAATTTGGCTGGCACAATAGCTCAGTGGTTAGCACTGCTGCCTCACAGTGCCAGGGACCTGGGTTCAATTCCAGCCTCAGGCAACTGTCTGGGTGGAGTTTGCACGTTCTCCCCGTGTCTGCGTGGGTTTCCTCCCACAGTCCCAAGATGTGCAGGTTAGGTGAATTGGCCATGAATGGGCCCAGGTTCGAATCTTGCCATGGTGTATGGTGGAATTTGAATTCAATAAAATATCTGGAATTCAGAGTCTAATGATAACCGTGAATCCATTGTCGATTGTTGGGAAAAATCTATCTGGTTCGCTAATGTCCTTCAGGGAAGGAAACTGCCATCCTTACCTGGTCTGGCCTACATGTGACTCCAGACCCACAGCAATGTGGTTGACTCTTAACTGCCCTCTGGGCAATTAGGGATCGGCAATAAGTGCTGTCTAGCCAGCAATGACCCTTATCCGGTAAATGAATAAAGAAAAAATATAAATTGCCCATAGTGTCTGGGGATGTGCGGGTTAGGGGAATGTGGGGCTAGGGTAGAGGGAAGGTCTGGGTGGAATGCTCGTTGGAAGGTTGATGTGGACTCAGTGGGCCAATTGGCTTGCTTCCACACTGTTGAGATTCTATGATTCGTTTCGCACATACACAGAGCACAATGTGACATCTTATCTCCAACTGCTTCTTCTCACCCCTTTCAACCTTCTTTAATACAATTTCAGTGTTAGGATATACAGTATAAATACAGGTCTGTGTTTAGTTGTGATTACATTCATAGACAACTTACAGGTCAAGAAATGTGCATGTCAAAACTGCATCTGTTACAAATGTAGTTCAGCCATCACCAGTTCATGCCTTGTGATCAAAAATAAAAATAGGCTTGTGACTCTTGCCTAGTAATGATTTTGTGTCTCCTGCTGTTAATCCCTTGTTTCCCTCTCTCATCACTGTGGCTTACTCTTATTCGGCTTCTTTTCCCTCTCCCTCCTTCCTCCTTTTCTTTACCTTTTCCTCGCCTAACCATCTCCCTTTCACTCCCCTACTTGTCAATTACTCTGTGCCTTTTGCCAAAGGCTTTAAGACCAGAAGGAGGCCATCTTGATTGCTTGTCAATTGGAGCATGGAAAATGCTTTCTCTTTTCTCTGGTATTTCGTTACCTCTGACACTTTTGTCTCAAGCATTTTCTGTAATTCTCACTTTCGTCTGCTGATTCACATTCTCAATGTGGGCATCAACTTTGATGGGGTTGTGGAAGCGATGGTCACAGATAATCCCTCCATTCTACACTGGTGAAGTGTGATGAGTGACTGATTCCTTAGTACTTGCCTTGTGTACCTTAAGAAGCTGAAATTCACCCATCCCTTCAGTTTTCCTGCTGTGTTCACATTTCTGTCTCTCATTCTACCTCACTCCTCAACTCTGATTGACTAGCTCCCTTTCTTTTCTGTGTTTTGTTCTTTCTTTCTCTGATGTCTCATTCTATTTATCTGTATCTTTCATTGCTTGACCCTGGCAACAAGGTCATGATGTTTTCATGGTTCAGTGTAATCCTCAAATTCACTTTAGAACCATTTAAGCAACACACTAATCAGATAATCACCCAAGGTGGAGTCGCAATTGGTCACTCTGACTTCAGGTGAGAGTGTAAATTCAGCCACTGTTTATCAGTTGTTCCTGATTTTCATTTCAGTTGAAACCATGGGCATTTCCCACTTTACACAGTTAGTATTACCATCTTCCCCATGGCATCTCTCCACTCAGCCTTGTACACTACTTGGACCAAGCTGGTTTTGAAATGTTTTCTGGACATGTTGTAAAATGCATTTGTCAAAGCATTTTGTTTGTTTTTAATTTACTCATGGAATGTGGGTGTCTCTGGCTGGGCCAGCATTTATTGCCTGTCCCTAGTTGTCCTTGAGAAGGTGGTGATGAGCTGCCTTCTTGAACCGCTACATGTGCTGTAGGTAGACCCACAATGTTGCGAGGGAGGGAATTCCAGGATTTTGACCCAGCGACAGTGGAAAAAACCGTAATGTACTGTGCAGGTTGGGATGGTAAGGTGGCTTTGGAGGGGAACTTGCAAGTGGTGGTGTTCCCATGTATCTGCTGGAGGGAGATTTGCTCCCCATCTTAATCTTGGTCTTTGGACTCCTTCCATTGTGTCATTCTCCAAATGTCAGCAGTGTCAAACTGTTTAAAAGCAAGCAGTGCCACAGTGATAATGTTACTGGACTAGTAACCCATGGGCTTGGACTAATGTTAATAGAGACAGGAGTTCCAATCCCACACGTCAGCTGACGGAATCTAATTTCACTGAACAAAATAAATCTGGACTTTTAAAAAAAGAAATGCTAGTCTGAA